TAATCCATTTGCAAATTTCTGCAATAAAATATGTTTAAATCAAATCTCAAAACATGAACAGAGACGAGGGGGACACTAGCGGAGTCATCTATATAACCCGATACTGACATGACGGGAGAGGGGGTACACCCTACCAGTAACCTATTCGAAACATTGCTATACGCTCTCTATCGATAGGCGTGTACAGGTAAGCAATACAAATAGCTCACTCAGCCATACCTTGACAAAGGGACCAGTCGGTCTCACTCAGCCATAACTTGACAAAGGGACCAGTCGGTCTCACTCAGCCATAAGTTGACAAAGGGACCAGTCGGTCTCACTCAGTCATAACTTGACAAAGGGACCAGTCGGTCTCACACAGTCATAGCTTGACAAAGGGACCAGTCGGTCTCACTCAGTCATAACTTGACAAAGGGACCAGTCGGTCTCACACAGTCATAACTTGACAAAGGGACCAGTTGGTCTCACTCAGTCATAACTTCACAAAGGTACCAGTCGGTCTCACTCAGTCATAATTTCACAAAGGGACCAGTCGGTCTCACACAGTCATAACTTGACAAAGGGACCAGTGGGTCTCACTCAGTCATACCTTGACAAAGGGGCCAGTCGGTCTCACACAGTCATAACTTGACAAAGGGACCAGTCGGTCTCACTCAGTCATAACTTCACAAAGGGACCAGTCGGTCTCACTCAGTCATAATTTCACAAAGGGACCAGTCGGTCTCACACAGTCATAACTTGACAAAGGGACCAGTGGGTCTCACTCAGTCATACCTTGACAAAGGGGCCAGTCGGTCTCACACAGTCATAACTTGACAAAGGGACCAGTCGGTCTCACTCAGTCATAACTTCACAAAGGGACCAGTCGGTCTCACTCAGTCATAATTTCACAAAGGGACCAGTCGGTCTCACACAGTCATAACTTGACAAAGGGACCAGTGGGTCTCACTCAGTCATACCTTGACAAAGGGGCCAGTCGGTCTCACTCAGTCATAGCTTGACAAAGGGACCAGTCGGTCTCACTCAGTCATAGCTTGACAAAGGGACCAGTCGGTCTCACTCAGTCATAGCTTGACAAAGGGACCAGTCGGTCTCACTCAGTCATAGCTTGACAAAGGGACCAGTCGGTCTTGAAACATTGCGACACGTTTAATATGTACATTGTTTGTTTATAAAGCAAAACTTTGGTATTACTTGATATTTGTGATTATAATTGTCGACGTCTATCTTCACAGATACCGGCACTGACGCCCAGGTCTAGTCAACGCCAGCAGATAAAACGCCATTGATACGATAAGAATGTAACATATACCATATTGATATGTTCTCATATCAACCCAACGTTAATGGGTTAATTAATGCAAATAAGATTATCGATTAGGTTGGTTTTCAGATTTGCATCGTCCTGTTTGCGCTGTTTTGGGTTGGTTAAAAATTCAAAATACAAATAGGGTGTTAAATACGAAACGAATTGTCATTACCATTCGGTACGTTTTCTAAAAATGGCGACTTGATATACGCTTTGTTTATTTACACCTTTCGTTTTTCATCAAAGCATCATATTTTACTATGTTATATAAAACTGTATCCCTATAGTAAGATTAACCTGGGATATATATAATAAAACTCAAAACTATCAAACACAAACCAGAACGACAAAATAACACACAACTCAATACGACGCAGAGCAACACATAAGAATACAATTCAATACCATACAAAACAAGACAATTCAGCGTAATACATTGTATTTATAACTCGATGGCACTGCTACACTATAGCCCTTCCAATTTCGGATGACATTCAGTAGACTGTAGACGCCATGACCCACGAGTTGACGTCATCACTTATAACGTCATATTTGTGACGTTATATACCACTAATCCTCCACTGAAGATGGCTGTTCTATCTATTGGAAAAACATACAATAGACCTACTGAAGCATTGAACTTTGTTGATATGGGTTTATGAATGACATAGCTCGGCAGGTAAATACTATATTGCGCACCAGCGTATTATGTTTTGTTCGGCCTGCAAAGCTGTGTCATTCACATAGAAAACTCAGCAAAAGTCAATACAACATAATAGAATATAAATGATAACGATGCAATACACGATATACAATACAATGCCACCCAAAATAACACGATACAATCATCTTCGCTACCGGGAAATTACGCTCACTTCAGCTCTCTCGCTCACTTCAGCTCTCTTCACAGCGAAAGTGAGCTTTACCCTGGAATGTCGAGGATGCAATACAATGTACCACAATAAAACGCCATACGATACAATGTAACACATTACAACAATATACAATACAATATCACCCAACATAACACAGTGCAATAAAATGTAACATATTACAACACTATACAATACAATACCACCCAACATAACACACTACAATACAATGTAACACATTACAACAATATACAACACGATACAACCCAACATAACACACTACAATACAATGTAACACATTACAACACTATACAATACAATACCACCCAACATAACACAATACAATACAATGTAACACATTACAACAATATACAACACGATACAACCCAACATAACACACTACAATACAATGTAACATATTAAAACACTATAAAATACAATACCACCCAACATAACACACTACAATACAATGTAACACATTACAACAATATACAACACGATACAACCCAACATAACACACTACAATACAATGTAATACATTACAACACTATACAATACAATACCACCCAACATAACACAATACAATACAATGTACCACATTACAACAATATACAACACCATACAACCCAACATAACACAATACAATACAATGTACCACATTACAACACTATACAATACAATACCTCCCAACATAACACAATACAATACAATGTAAAACATGACAACAATATACAACACCATACAACCCAACATAACACAATACAATACAATGTAACACATTGCAACAACATTAATAACACTTTAATATACAAATGTATCTTTAAAACTAAAATATTTTTAAACGTGATATTAAATCGTTTTAAATGTACTGTTCATTACAATAATTACAATATAAGATTGCGACCTGAATTTCCTCTATTTCCTCTCCGGTGAGCATCACACTTATTCTATAAGGAAAGGACATATTTTATTTCTACATATTTCTCGAGACAGCTTAATGAAGATATGTTGCATCAACGTGCTCTACTCTCTAACCTAGCAGTCCAAAATTACGAGTTATAACAAATCTATAACGCTTCGATTATTATACAGACAAACGATCTCGTCGTCTGTCTACATTAGCTGTTATTAGGACAAAATAACAGTGTCATCAGATGACATTTTGTTTCGAAGTGAAGAGAAAGAAAACACACTTTTTCGTCCATCAGTTGGGGCAATCAGTCCTATAATGGACGCTTTTAGTGTTGCCAAATACGCACGAATTTCAACGGTAATGATCCATAAAAATGGCGTCACAGCACTCGGTAACATGGAGATGGTGTACACGTTAAAGTATGTTGCATTGTTTGGGCATTTGATTAGGTCATGTAAACACATCACAAAAAGTGTTATCACAGTCGCCAAAGGAACGAAGAGAGCAAAATAAACAAAACTGACAATCCACACACTAACAGTGGACAGTTGTAATCTGACAACTTCCGGTTCCACAGCTCCTGCAAATACACGAGTAAAGTGTAACTTCTTGTATTTGTATACTATCACCGTAGCTATGGGTACCAAAATCAGCAGACACATCGGCAAGAGGAACATAGTGACGAATATGGGGACAGCAGAGTCCTTTTCAAGCACAAACACACAATAATTGTCATGCTGGAAGTGATGCGAAAGGTCTTTCCGGCTAAGCACTATAACGGGAGCACACACCAACGAGCCGATGCACCAAGGAAGAGCTATCAACACCCTAGACACGGTAGAAACCATTTTCTCGCTAATGGCAGAAACAGACTGTAGCTTGACTAGCAGGCGTTCGGCACACATGACTACCGTCATCAGAGAAGATAGCAATGTCCTACTGATTTGTATGACTTGGAAGGCAATACATACATTATCACCATGGCGCCATTCAGACCAACTTACCATGTGCTCCAGACCCATCGGGATCACAAACACGCCATGGCACAGATCAAATACACTGATGCTGAGAATGCCCAAGAAGAAGGCATGTGTCCTCAATCTCTTGTTACTAAGGATTATCGCAATAATGCCTAGGTTGGCGGGAACAGCTACTAGGATGATAGGGATAAAGCGCGCTTTCATCTCCTTCGCGAAACTATCCTCGTTCGCCCAACGGCTCCAATTACGTGGTTCCACTGTCCAAGTACTATTGACGGTGGTATTGTAACCAAACATCGACGTCGTCATCGGCTGAAACGGTAAAAGAGCAATATACACATGTATCAAATGCTGTCCTTTGCCTTCTGAAGTTGAAATATTTTAGTTGCACAGAAATGATATACATGTACTTAACGCTACAACTTACGGTTTTATAGAATAGTACAGATTTGTAAATGTACAATGTAAAAGAATAGCCCAATTGAAAGACATAATGCACAAAGGTAAAAACTATAAAGGAAAGTAATACTGTTTTGATGAATTTCGTAGCAAGCGGCTAAACATCATAGACACATATAACGTAACATAGACACGTATAACGTAACATACACACGTATAACGTAACATAGACACGCATAACATAACATACACACATATAACGTAACATACACACATATAACGTAACATAGACACGTATAACGTAACATACACACGTATAACGTAACATAGACACGTATAACGTAACATACACACATATAACGTAACATACACACGTATAACGTAACACAGACACGTATAACGTAACATAGACACGTATAACGTAACATAGACACGTATAACGTAACATAGACACGTATAACGTAACATAGACACGTATAACGTAACATAGACACGTATAACGTAACATAGACACGTATAACGTAACATAGACACGTATAACGTAACATAGACACGTATAACGTAACATAGACACGTATAACGTAACATAGACACGTATAACGTAACATAGACACGTATAACGTAACATAGACACGTATAACGTAACATAGACACGTATAACGTAACATAGACACGTATAACGTAACATAGACACGTATAACGTAACATAGACACGTATAACGTAACATAGACACGTATAACGTAACATAGACACGTATAACGTAACATAGACACGTATAACGTAACATAGACACGTATAACGTAACATAGACACGTATAACGTAACATAGACACGTATAACGTAACATAGACACGTATAACGTAACATAGACACGTATAACGTAACATAGACACGTATAACGTAACATAGACACGTATAACGTAACATAGACACGTATAACGTAACATAGACACGTATAACGTAACATAGACACGTATAACGTAACATAGACACGTATAACGTAACATAGACACGTATAACGTAACATAGACACGTATAACGTAACATAGACACGTATAACGTAACATAGACACGTATAACGTAACATAGACACGTATAACGTAACATAGACACGTATAACGTAACATAGACACGTATAACGTAACATAGACACGTATAACGTAACATAGACACGTATAACGTAACATAGACACGTATAACGTAACATAGACACGTATAACGTAACATAGACACGTATAACGTAACATAGACACGTATAACGTAACATAGACACGTATAACGTAACATAGACACGTATAACGTAACATAGACACGTATAACGTAACATAGACACGTATAACGTAACATAGACACGTATAACGTAACATAGACACGTATAACGTAACATAGACACGTATAACGTAACATAGACACGTATAACGTAACATAGACACGTATAACGTAACATAGACACGTATAACGTAACATAGACACGTATAACGTAACATAGACACGTATAACGTAACATAGACACGTATAACGTAACATAGACACGTATAACGTAACATAGACACGTATAACGTAACATAGACACGTATAACGTAACATAGACACGTATAACGTAACATAGACACGTATAACGTAACATAGACACGTATAACGTAACATAGACACGTATAACGTAACATAGACACGTATAACGTAACATAGACACGTATAACGTAACATAGACACGTATAACGTAACATAGACACGTATAACGTAACATAGACACGTATAACGTAACATAGACACGTATAACGTAACATAGACACGTATAACGTAACATAGACACGTATAACGTAACATAGACACGTATAACGTAACATAGACACGTATAACGTAACATAGACACGTATAACGTAACATAGACACGTATAACGTAACATAGACACGTATAACGTAACATAGACACGTATAACGTAACATAGACACGTATAACGTAACATAGACACGTATAACGTAACATAGACACGTATAACGTAACATAGACACGTATAACGTAACATAGACACGTATAACGTAACATAGACACGTATAACGTAACATAGACACGTATAACGTAACATAGACACGTATAACGTAACATAGACACGTATAACGTAACATAGACACGTATAACGTAACATAGACACGTATAACGTAACATAGACACGTATAACGTAACATAGACACGTATAACGTAACATAGACACGTATAACGTAACATAGACACGTATAACGTAACATAGACACGTATAACGTAACATAGACACGTATAACGTAACATAGACACGTATAACGTAACATAGACACGTATAACATAACATAGACACGTATAACGTAACATAGACACGTATAACACAAAATAGACACGTATAACACAACATAGACACGTATACCACAACATAAACACGTAAAAACATAATATAAACAGGCATAACACAACACATTCACGTATGAGTTAACAGAGATACTTGTACCACAACCATTTGAATTATAATACAACATTTAAAATGAGCCCTCTGATCGGTCAATGTTTTTCAGTTTAACCGAGCAGTTTTATTGAATTCACTTTTCAAATAAAAAATATATTTAATCGATTTGAACATGATTCAGATTATTGTATTTTGACATTGCTTAAACAATAAATAAATTCATTTGGAGGATTACCCTCAAAACTATCTACTTATTTCGAGATAATTCACAATTTGTTAACCAAACGAAATTAAAAACTTGCCAGATCGGTGGTAGACATTTCGGTCAGTCCTGTTCCCGTTGCTAGTTGTGATATGGAGCTGTCCGACGCCCGATAGGTGCTACAATATATATGTATATTGACTTCGTAACTCATCGTATACGTATGGACGCCGACCTGATTAATTGACCTTATTAATCTACTCAGAGTTTGACATTATTTGATAAAATTTATTCATGTAATTATGTAGTAGGTTTAATTTGAAGCACCTGTTTCTATTTTCCTAATGGTGTTCTTGGTGTAAACCGAATCACTCTGATAGTGTAATAGTGTGCTAGATTAAAAACACAGAATTCTAATATTGTACTGGTGTACTACGTTTGAAGCACCTGTTTCTGATTATGTAATATTGTACTTTCTTGTAAAAAAAAGTTTTCATAATTTTGTAATAGTGAACTAAGTTTGAAGCACAGGTTTTTTATTTAGTGAATAATGTAATTAGTGAAAAACAAAGGTGTCTAATTTTGTAATAGCTTGATGTAAAGCACCTAATTTTAATATTGTAATAGTGTTCTTGGTAAAAAGCTAAAGTTTCTCACTTTCTGATAGCCTATTAGATTTACGAAGCGGTTATTGTGATCGTTTTGAAGCACATAACAAAAGCATATATATATACAGCATCACACTTAATCTATCCCCGATATATGAAATATCATTACCACATTTAGTTGTTCCACTAATTCCACTATCCGTATCTGACACAGTCGATAGTGTGAAACACGCGCAAAATAAACTTATTGAGATGAATGAGAAGATCATAAAACTTGATGATAAATACATGTACACTTCCACGTTTCAGAGAATCACAATTCACAAGCAAGTATAAATAGGTACCACTATCTACAGGATTATATTTTACCGTAGTCGGTAACAACCTATGTATAAGTTTGATACGAATTAAATAACTAAAAAAATAACTAAATAAACTGTTTATCATCTATATACTACTACCTTATATAAGCACCATTTTTTTCCCAAATGACTTCTAAGGTCAATGATCATCGATTGCAAATTCAACGTAAACAAATAGAAGATTTACGCAGAAGAATACAAAAAACCTTAAAACCGTGTAGAAAAATATTTTGAAAACCATCCTATTGTCATTGGCTTTTCTATATGCACATTTACGCTTAAACAGTGGTGTTGTTATCCTCACAATATATTTTGGTATTGATTTATATTGATTTGTTTATGACGGACTATTTTCTTACGCGGATCACTTTTGTGTGAATGCTGCTTCTGGTTTAGGACCTCACCTGGCGGAAGGAGATTTTTTATTTTTTGTTGAGAAAATACGTTCCCAAATACCGGGAAAATCCGTTCTCAAGTTGTTCTAAAATTGTTCTCAAGTCGCTATCAACCTCTTTTTGAGTATTTTCGTACTGACAACCCATGATAATGAATTTATCATGCTACCGGTAGGTGGTGTAAAGTAGTATATAGATGATAATCTTGGTTGTCTAACCCGAGGTTTGATTCAAGTATAAGGATATTAAGATTATTTGTTTATCCACACAGAATAGTAGGCATTCCTCAAATCTTCTTACCAAAGTCTTGGTAGCGATTTAACGCCATAGTAATCTAAAAAAATCATATCAATATATCTACATTTCCACAGCAAGTTCCTTTTTATAAGCATTACCAGAAGAAACTGTGTTCATAGAGGTATAAACACAATTGTATTAGTGTCATTTCGAAGCTTCTCCTCCAACCTCGATTTATATTAGAATCTGTTAAAATAATACCTTCTGATGACGGTAGGCTGTTCCAGGAAATTTGTTTTCGCTGACGACACCAACACTTTAATAACGAAAATATAAGGGAATATCTATATTAAGGTCATCATAAATAATATCGAGAATGTAAATAAAACTATTGAACGGCCTTTTTTTTTAATGTCCATGCTTTTAATCAATGTCATCCAACAAAATCTGATAATTCTTCTTTTACCATTTTGATATTTTATCAACGCCAAAACACTATTGTTTGTTTATATACTGTGTGATTTGAGGAATATATGATATTTGTTTTTAGTTATACTTAATATATATATATTGTAATATTGTAATATTGTCAACGTATATTGGCCTGAACACGTTTCAACGTCAGGGTAAATCCATACAGACAACAGCCACCAGTTGACAGTGAAGCAATTTCCAACGTTACAGTTATGACGTCATAAGCGTAGCGACGTCACAATGGCCCAAGGTATGTTATGCAGAAATAACATACATCTGGGTCCAGTAGAAACATCTAGGCTCTGTGCAGTGGAAATGTAAATATAATAGTATATGCAGGTGGGTAAGGAAAACAATGAATATCTGGATAGCAGTAGACAATGCTAGAGTTCATAGTTCACATAGTAGATACTCTTCCTATGTTTGGTAAGATTTCTGAAAGACCAATTTCAAGAAATTCTTAATTGACTTCAAACTTCTTATTTCAATTATCCTCAAATGTTTTCTTTTGTCAAATGTATTTCTTTTCCTGGAAGTTTCAAATCACCCAGGTGATTCGATAAAAAATATTCTGGTCGAAGTTCCAACATACACACACACCCTTCTTGCCTGAAGGCTGTGCATACTGTCTGAATGTAGCTTAGTTTGAGACCTAATACTAAATCCTCCAAAATGTTTAAGTCTGTTTCAAAGGATTAAACAATGGATAATGTAAAAGATACATGTCGTCCGCAAATAGATTTATGAAATATTCTGAATCGTGAATTAGATCTTATGTAAACTGTGAGAACGTGCTTCTTTTCTTCTAGAGAACGCATTTTCAAATCCCTTTTCAACCGAATTTCGTACAGATTTTCAAATGTTATGTTCGTACAATTTTACAGACTTAAATGCCATTGGTGGAATAATTATAAGACACCAATACACCTACATGGGTTTCTGCCTGGTGTTGTAACGTATAAGACACCAATACGCCTACAGGGGATTCTGCCTGGTGTTGTAACGTATAAGTCACAAATACGCCTACATAGGTATCTGCCTGGTGTTGTAACGTATAAGTCACAAAAACACCTACATAGGTTTCTGCCTGGTGTTGTAACGTATAAGTCACAAATACACCTACATGAGTTTCTGCCTGGTGTTGTAACGTATAAGACACCAATACGCCTACATGGGTTTCTGCCTGGTGTTGTAACGTATAGTTTGTAAGCAATGAAGCCATCTTCGCCGCCCTAGGTCATTAACATTCTCATTTTATCAAGTACGCCTATACATGATTAACCGACATGTCTATGTGTTTCATCGACTGCTAACTATACAAATGAGGTACAAACTGATGGAAACTTCGTAACATTTTGTGACTAGGATAAAGTAACAGTGTCGTCCGATGATGCTTTGTTCTGGAGTGACCTGAAAGACAGAGTGTTCATTTGTCCGTCAGGTGGTGTCACAGTTCCTATTAATCTTTTATTTATGCGAGCTATTAACGATGTCAAAATCGCACGAATTTCAACGGTGATGATCCACAAAAACGGCGTCACGGCACTCGATAAGAGAGAGATGGTGTGTGCATTCTCATAAGTAGAGTGCAATGGACATTCGCTATTGCCACGTGCACACATTATGAAAAGAGTTATCACAACTGTCAACGGAACGTATTTGGCAACATAAACAAGGCTGACAATCCACGCGCACAGAGTGGACATGTACAGACTGACAGCTTCCGGTTCGACAGTTTCCGCAGATAAACGATTCCAGTCCGACTTCTTGTACTTGTAAACTACCATCATAGCTATGGGTACCAGGACCAGTAGGCCGAGTGGTATCAGGTACATGACAAGTATGGAAAGGTGAAAATCATTCTCCAGCACGAACAAACAATATTCATCGTGTGTGAAGTGGTTCGACATATCCTCCCGATTCATCATAATGAGAGGCACACATACCAGAATACCAATACACCAAGGAAGCGCTATCAGAACCCTTGACAACGTCGTTACCTTTTGTCCATCAATAGTTGCAACTGATTGTAGTTTTGCCAGCAGACGTTCAAAACACAGCACGGTGGTCATTAGAGCAGACATATAGGTTTTACTGATAGCTATGACTTGGAAAATGATACACACACTCTCGCCATGGGGCCATTCATTCCAGTGAAGTTGATGTTCCAGAGACATCGGAAGCACAAACATGCCATTACACAGGTCGAACACACTGATGCTGAGAACGCCCAGGAAGAAGGCTTTAGTCCTCAAGGTCTTGGTACTCAGGATTATTGCAATAATGCCTAGGTTGGCAGGAATAGCTACGAGGATGATAGGAATGAAGCGCGCTTGTATCTCCATGATTCTGTTTGGGGCCATTTCATACTCCACATCGTATTCTACCCAGGTACTGTTGGCGGTGGTGTTGTAGACAAACAATGGTGCTGTCATTGTCTGGAATGGTAAAACATGTTTTGGTCATAACACATATATAACACGAGTTGGTGGGTCAAGGTCAAGATCACCGTTACAATTTTTAGAAAATCTTTGTCAGCGCTCTAGCGGCTTTATTCTTAGAGGGATTTTGATCAAACTTCACACAATTACAAAGGATCAGAATATCTCGGTAATGTTCGAATTTCAGGGTTGTCGGGTCAAGGTCACCGTTATTATTTTTAGAAAATACTTGTCAGCGCTCTATCGACTTTATTCCTTGAGGGATTTTGATTAAACTCCACATAATTACAAGTTTGAGTTCAGGGTTGTTGGGTTAAGGTCAAAGTCACCGTTACTATTTTTTAGCTCACCTGATCCGAAGGACCATGATGAGATTATGCCATACCACAGCGTCCGTCGACCGTGCGTCCGTCAACTTTTCATTGCAAACGCTACTCGTCTTAAACGGCCAAGTAGAATTTGACTAAATTTGGTCTGGAGCATCCATGGGCCAAGGTGACTCAATTTTGTATAAATGTGGGTTTGGCAACCCTTGGGACAGAAGGGCGCGGCCCAATAGGGGGAAATAGAGGTAAAACCTTTAAAATCCTTCTTCTACCGTAGGTATTGAGGGATTATATCTAAATTTGCTCTGGAGCATCCCTGGACCAAGAGGACTCAATTTTGTATAAATGGTGGGGTTGGCCCTCCTGGGAGCAGAGGTGCGGGACCGAATAGGGGAAATAGAGGTAAAACCTTTACAATCTTTCTTCTAACGTATGGGTNCCCCCTCCCCCGAGGGCAGAGGAGAGTGGGCCCAATAGGGGAAACATACCAAATTCTCCAAAGTCCTTCTTCCTCTGTAGGAATGACAGGATTTTGATTAAATTTTGGATGAACCCCCTTGGGTGAAGGGGAACCAATTCTGTATAAACGGTGGGTCTTATCCCCTTGGGGCAGAGAGGCGGGGCCAAATAAGGGATATAGAGGAATAGCTTTAATATTCTTCTTCTGTAGGAATGACAGGAGTATGTCTATATTTGGGGGCAGAGGGGCGGGCCCTATATAGGAAACATAGCAAATTCTTCGAAATCCCCCATTTACTTTAGGAATGACGGAATTTTGTCCAATTGCATATAAATATAACCCCTGACTTACCATGTCTTTACATGTACACGTCCAGGAATATCTGGCTATTATAACTTCAATTTTGCTAACGTTTCCAAGTGAGCGATACAGGCCCTCTGGTCTTCTTGTTAGAAAATCCTTGTTAGCGCTCTAGCAGCTTTTTTCCTTGAGGGATTTTGATCAAAATTCACACAATTACAAAGGACCATAATATTACGGACAATTGGAATTTCAGGGTTGTTTGATCAAAGTCACCGTCACAATTTTAGAAATTTCATTGTCAGCGCTCCAGCGGCTTCATTCCATGATGGATTTTTATCAAACTTCACACAATCACAAAGGACCATAATATTATAAATCATTACAGTGTAATGCTAGCGGGAGCCGGTAGGGGACATGTATTGCTTTAGCAATAGTCAGTATGCTTGTTAACTTTCCTTTCCTTTCACAACAATTGAACGACTTTTTCATTTATAACTTGTTTGTAAGAGGAAAGTTTCTTTTCATATTTGAATTAGTAGGTGAAGCTATATAGCAAGCAAGTTTATGCTGGCAAATGACGTTTCATGTTTGATTTGCCTTTTAATGTCCTTGCTGTTTCTTAATTTGACCAATCCGTATGACAAACTGTATCGACAATTTTCTGTCGATGGGTAATGAAGGATTTCTCACGATTCCTTTTTAGTTCTTTTGGCTATTTATCGCAGTTTACCTTTGTGGTTAACTATGTAGTAGTATGTTGTGATGCCTGACTGTAGGTTTGATACAAGGGTTGTTCGAGTTAATTTTTGTTAATTGGTACTCTGGTTCCACAAGTATACAAGTGCTTTTCAGATTCATTTCCCCAATAATTAAAACAAATATTCCTTGCTTCAAATCTTTCTATATGAATATTTCCATTGTTTATATTTTGACCTAGTTTCATTGATTCTGATTTAGAATCGGATTTTGTTTATATCTGTTTTTGTAAAATGTAGGAACATATTTCATTTTGATAAAACTTATTTCATTTTAGATGTTGAGGAGTTATGTGCACTGAAGTACTGGCAAATAGTCCAATGGTAAAGGTAACGGAAGCAACACCTGGGTAATAATGTGTGCTTCGTTGTCATATTGTATTAACCTAATTCCTCCAGATAGTCATACTTACGACAGAAAAAATGCCCTGAACATATATCATTGTTATAAATTTGTTCCTCCGTAACTTTATAAATGGTGTCGCCAAAATAAAATGACATCCCTGTCACGGGACTCTTGGTTAATTATTATGTACACTTGAGTATAACCCCAAAGATGAAGAGGCGTCAATTAGGGACAAGAATATACCAAAGAAGTTAAGCCTTTATGGAATTAATCATTCACTGTCTCTGACTTTCATAACATTATTATTTTGTGACATGTGATCATTTCTGTTACTTTGTGATATGTCAACCCAAACATGCTTGACTACAGTACTGCCCACTGTTGTTCAAGCCATTCATAGTTTTCGTTGTTCTTTCTAAAAAAGGTGATGCTAACGTGACAGGTATTCCGAGGATGAAGGAGGGCTTTTGTGTAATACCAAACAAGGAAACAAATATATTTTTCATATTTGAAATAATCCTCTTAAACCACACAACAAAAGTTATAGATGATGTATCATGACAATTTTTTATAATATTTAGCGAAACAGTTAATCTTGTTTCTAAAATTTGATGACTTTTCTCATTGGTGAAGACTAATTTTTTACAGGAATTTCCGATGTTTTGCCTTTGATTAACTTCAATATGTGGCCCTTGTAAACGTTAAGCTGATAAACTCTAAAATTTTAAAACGATCAATATAACTCATAAAATGAAGAAATATTATAGACGCGTAAAACACACTGTATGAAATACATGTATTATTGACATTCAGTATAATATATACGGCATTATGTAACTTAAACAAAAAAATATAACTTTATAGTATTATGTGATTATATCATACAGCACATCGAGGATTGATTATGGAATATTATAGACACGTTAAACACAATACAAGATTTAATTTAATCAATACGATTCATCAGTTTGGAAATATGTTATATCAAAATTTTACTTTATACACAATACGTACATCGTTTGTGTATAAAGTAAAACTTTGATATATCATATAGATAATGGTATGAACTTATAGTGTTCTGTATGCAACACATAAATATTTTTATTTTTGTTATCACAGATACGTAAAACACAATATATGGAATAATATAGACATGGCTATATATATACCACATTGTGTAATTATATTATACAACACGTAGAGGATCATAAATTGTTATTGACACGAAAAACACAATTTAAGAAACATAATAGACATATAAAACAACATATGTACAACATTACGTTATTACAATATACAAAAGGTAAATAGTTATAAAATATTATATACACTTAAATCACGATATATAACTATAAAACATTAGATAATACTATGTATAATTATTATTAATTATAGACATATACAGTACTGTGTGTCAGATGGGCAACCATTATACGCTTATAGCACTCTATAAATGGTCCACAACCAGGATATACATGTACATCACTGTAAAGGTTTATCAAACATTACAGACATGCACAACTCAGTGCAGTCACACCAAGCGTTACAAACACAGAGACAGAGACTTCTACAGCTCACTTTTATGTTGGAATTTAACCTTTTCTTGAATGACTTACCACATTCATATGTTCAGGTTATACAATTCGTTTGCAATTCGAAGTCCGAAACGCATTGTATTTTTCTTGTCATACACAAACAAAGATGGGTACAAGTGTATCATAACTAACATCCAAAGTTAAGAATAATCATGAATGATGTTTTAAGTATACAAGAATAAACGTTTTACCGTAGTAGTGGAAGACATGTTGACCAGTGTTGGTTCCGTCCTGTGCTGTTGCCTACCGATATGGCACATTATATATGTACATACATTTACCTAATTTATCAACTCTCTCGTGTTCACTGTCACTTGTTTTCGCGTTTTTATTAAAACGAACCTATATGTAATGGCCATATTCTAAACGCAATTTTCTTTCATAATTCTGTGAAATATGTGAAAAAACGCCATGCACTAGTATCAATATGGTGTCAGAGACAAGCTACCATTGTAACCCGGCTTACATTGGTGACACTGGAAATTGTTTCTATATCTAGGTGTTATAAATACCACCTAAATCGAACGAATAGTTATTCAAGATGTCTGAACTTCGGCCTCCCGGTTTTCTTAACATGTTGCATAGTTTAGATACGTAATTTAACACCAGTTTGGGTTTATTTTGGTGCCACGTGGAGCAACGGACATGGATGTAAAAAAATACCAAATTTCTTTTAGTTAAAATTTCAACGACGTATATGCACCTCCACGATGAAGCACTTTTATAGAAGAGAACAGAAATTATAGCCCGATATGTTTCAGTCAATCAGAGATCACAGTGGTTACGTTTGTTTGGAAAATGAAATACCGTATGCAAATCTACACGCATCCATCTCCATACGATTAGAAGCTTCATAAGTGTCTGCACAAAGTATTCCTTCGAAATGTGTCGGACATATCCGTCTGATCGGACAAATGGATAATTTAGCGTCCTCACAAAGGTGAGCTGTCATAGAACGGACAACACTATACCCATTGCTTGTATATTTATATTTGTAGTTCTATACTATCATCGTCTCGTCATGGGAATGTAAAAAAACAACACATTTGTGTTTTTCATTTACAAATATATAAGATAGAAAATAGTTAAAACATATCCTATTGGTACTCTCTTAGTCCTGTGTTATCTGTTATGTATTCAATGGGCGACAACAATTTATATATGTCCTGCTGGTGAGACAAACAGCTTCAATAGACTCGCTTGAGGTTCGAACTCGGTCAAACTCTTGAAATATATGCTCTATATTATAAAAGAAAAACCCAAAAACAATTTGTCTATTTTTGAGTTACATGTATTTTTCACAAGTGACATAATTATATTAATTATATTTGATATTAATTTTCATTCCCTGCATATACTTGCAATACTTTCTGTTAAGAATAAAGATAAAGCTTTTAACATTTTTCAGATTTAAAAGCTTATTAAATGAAGATTCAGTTTTACTTAAGATAAACGGATTTTTGCAGGTTTCTATCATGTATAATGGGCGGTGAAGGGTGGTTTTAACTATCTCAAAACGAGCGATATATGGTTGCTTTAACTATGTCACAATGGGCGATATATAGTGCTTTAACTATGTCACAATGGGCGATATATAGTGTTTTGACTATGTCACAATGGGCGATATATAGTGCTTTAACTATGTCACAATGGGCGATATATAGTGCTTTAACTATATCACAATGGGCGATATAGAGTGCTTTAACTATGTCACAATGGGCGATATACAGTGCTTTAACTATGTCACAATGGGCGATATACAGTGCTTTAACTATGTCACAATGGGCGATATCTAGTGTTTTGACTATGTCACAATGGGCGATATATAGTGCTTTAACTATGTCACAATGGGCGATATACAGTGCTTTAACTATGTCACAATGGGCGGTGAATGGTGGCTTTAACTATGTCACAATGGGCGATATAGAGTGGTTTAACTATGGCACAATGGGCGATATAGAGTGCTTTAACTATGTCGCAATGGGCGATATATAGTGCTTTAACTAGGTCACAATGGGCGATATAGAGTGTGTTAACTATGTCACAATGGGCGATATAGAGTGTGTTAACTATGTCACAAGGGGCGATATAGAGTGTGTTAACTATGTCACAATGGGCGATATAGAGTGGTTTAACTATGTCACAATCGGCGATATAGAGTGCTTTAACTATGTCACAATGGGCGATATACAGTGCTTTAACTATGTCACAATGGGCGATATGGAGTGCTTTAACTATGTCACAATGGGCGATATAGAGTGTGTTAACTATGTCACAAGGGGCGATATAGAGTGTGTTAACTATGTCACAAGGGGCGATATAGAGTGTGTTAACTATGTCACAAGGGGCGATATAGAGTGTGTTAACTATGTCACAAGGGGCGATATAGAGTGTGTTAACTATGTCACAAGGGGCGATATAGAGTGGTTTAACTATGTTACAATTGGCGTTATTTGTCGTGTTTAACATCGTTATAATAGGCGATCCAGGGTGTTTTAACTAACTTACAATGGGCGACATATGTTGTTTGTAGGTCACTTGACCATAGGTCATGGTGACCTATTTTCATCCGTCTTCGTCTGTCGTCGTGCGCCGTGCGTCCTGCGTTATTTTGTTTCTTGTGAGCAAGATAACTTTAGTAAAAGTGAATGGATTTCTAAATTTGCTATGCTGCTTTATATCAATCTCAAGATCTCGAACGAGTGATATTAAGTGTTTATTTCTATAATGATACAATGGGCAGTATTGAGTATTTATTTCTATAATGATACAATGGGCAATATTGAGTATTTATTTCTATAATGATACAATGGGCAATATTGAGTATTTATTTCTATAATGATACAATGGGCGATATTGGGTGTGTAATTCTATAATGATACAATGGGCAATATTGAATGTTTATGACTGTTATGATACAATGCATATTGAGTGAGTATTTCTACAATGTTAAAAAGGGCGGTATTAAGTATTTATTTATACAACGAATCAATGGGCGGTATTAAGTATTCATTTATACAATGATACAATGGGCAATATTGAGTGTGTATATCTACAATGATACAATATACAATTATGGACTTTTGTACTGGTGAATATGATGCGATATAAACCTTAAAAAGTGATATTGACCGAGGCGAAGGATGAACCTGAAAATGTGATATTTACCGAGGAGAAGCCGAGGTTTATATCACTTTTTTTCAGGTTCATATCGCATAATATTTACCATCACAAAAGCCCATAACTGTTTTATTATATGCTTCAACAATGAAATTTAAAAAGAAAAACGCAAGGTTCTCTTTGTAAAATTTAGCAAGAGTTGAATCCAACAGTTCAGTATCGTAGCTTTCGAAGCCATCGTCAAGGTTATAATCCTTAAGATAAGCATGGAGGAAACGCACTGCATGTTCGGTGGCCTTTTTGGTAATATTAGGATCTTTACCTTTCGAGGAAGTTTTATGAAATTTTCAGATGTAACGGAGGCGAAGCGTTCTCCAGCAGCCATCTTCTGTTGTCATCTGACAGATCGCGTTCCGGTCTAACTGCGCAAGTGCTACGAGAGGTTGCGTGGAATTTCCTCGCAATCACATTGGCTCGATCCGTTACACGTGACCAGTCCTCAAAACCTCATGTATACTGGTTATCAGGTGAATATCGATTTCTAAAAATAGCCTATATGGAAATTCCCCGCAACCTCTCGTAGCACATGCGCAGTTAGACCGGAACGCGATCTGTCATATGACAACAGAAGATGGCTGCGTCGCCTCCGTTACATCTGAAACTGTCCGAAAATTCTCGAAGATAAAGATGATGTTTACACAAAAAGGCCGCCGTACACGCAGTGGATGTCCTCCATGCTTATCTTAAGGAAAATAACCTTGGCGATGTCTTCGAAAGCTATTATGCCAATCTGTTGGATTCAACCCTGGCTAACTTTTACACAGAGGCTCGTTCCAGTAAATGTCTCGGAACTATACAAAAATTCCACTCTCACGTTGAATAGATATTTGCAAGAATTTGACACCATCAACGGTAAAGAATTTCCTAAGTCAAAACGAGCGTTCCAAGTCACGTCCATGAAACTCATGGGGGAAAAAAAGAAAACAAATCAGAACCTTGAGGTTTTGTTTTTGAATTTTCTTGTTACAGCATGTAATAAAACAGATATGGACTTTTGTGCTGGTGAATATGATGTGATATGAATCTAAAAAAGAGATATTGATATGCTTCAACAAGAAGAAAAAAAACCTCAAGGTTCTGATATTTGGTTTTTTTTTGTTTTTTTTTGTCTCCATGAGTTCCATGGTAAATATCCCTTTCATCATATTCACCAGCACAAAAGTCCATAATTGTATAATATTGAGTATTTCTTAGGACCTAGGTGAGCGTATGCCATACCGTGGCGTCCGTCCGTCGTCCGTACGTCAACACTTTCTTCAAACGACTTTCATCTTCTTAACCACTGATTGGAATTTAACTAAATTTGACTGGAAGCATCCCTAGGTGGTGCTGATTCAAAATTGTACAAACGGTGGGGCTGACCCTAAGGGGGCTGAGGGGCAGGGCCCAAAAGGGGGCAATTTGACTATATTGCTACAAACGACTTCTTCTGTAAAACTAAGAGATGGATATCAACCATATTTGACCGGAAGCATCCCTAGGTGGTGTGGATTCAAAACTGTACAAATGGTGGAGCTGACATCCCCCCTTCTCCCCAGGGTGCTGTGGAGTCGGGCCAAAAGGGGGCAATTTGGCTATACTGCTATAAACGACTGCTTCTGTAGAACTGTGCCGTGGATATCAATCATATTTGGTCAGAGCATTTATGGGAGGCAGGGATTCAAAATTGTACAAATGGTGGGGCTGACCCCCGTGCTAGAAGGTGGGCCAAAAAAAGTGTATCACTTGGAAATGATTGAGATCCCCACCGCATACAATTGCTGAATATAAAAAGAAGAATGCACATTTGCCTCCAGAATTGCCTTGGGGTCTGGCCCCACCCTTGAAGACATAGACCCTGGGACATGACTTTGAAACGGTTCAGATCCCCACCCAAAACTATATATCCAAATGCTGGGCATAAAGAAACGAATGCAGTCATGATATTAGAATAGACCCTGGGGTCTGACCGAACCCATTGGGGCCTAGTTTCTTAGTCACAGCTTGGAAACAGCTGAGATCCCCACCCTATAACCGTATATAGAATTGCTGAGTATAAAGAGATGAATGAAAATACGCTTCCATGATGGCCTTGGGGTCTGCCCCACCCTTGGAGACTTAACCCCTGGGTCATAACTATGAAACGGTTAAGATCCCTACCTAAAACTATATATACAATTGCTGGGCATAAAGAGACGAATGCAGTCATGCTATTAGAATTGACCCCAGGGTCTGCCCCATCCTTGCAGTCATGATATTATAATTGATCCTGGGGTCTGGCCACAACCCTAGGGACCTAGTTTCTGAGTCATAGCTTGGAAACAGTTGAGATCCCCATCCCATAACCATACATGAAATCGCTGGGCATGACAAATCAAGGATGGGCCTTTGGGTCTAGCATATTCCCTTGGATCTAATTTTGAGAATATTTTGCCATGATTCCTTAGATATCCAGGTGAGCGATACCAGCCCTCTGGGCCTCTTGTTTCTATAATGATACAATGATTGATATTGAATGTTTATTTCTACGATGAACCAATGGCAATGTTGATTGTTTATTTCTACGATGATACAATTGGCGATATTGAATTTTCATTCATACAATGATAATATGGGCAGTATTGCGTGTATATTTCTACAATGATACAATGGGGGATATTGATTGCTTGCCGCCCAGTGTTTACTTTTACATTTACTTCTACGCCATTGTGACATGTACTCAGTCTATCATGAAAGGAACACGACGTACACAGCGTATGCACTGCTAGGGAGCAGCAACGTTTCTCTGCAATAATGTCTCAAAACTGTTCAAGTCTTTATTTTAAATATGGCTTTATTTGATCGACTACAAAATTAATATGATATGAATATTTATATTTCTGACTTAATGTTCAGCCTGGCTATACATATCTCTGACAGCTTGAACACATGTGTTTCCCATAGCGTCACGATATTTAATACAAGTAAAGGCAGTTTGGTTTGAAACAGCTCTATGCAAACGGGTACGTAGACAGTTAGCGCCCAGTACCTGTATCGTCCGAAGAGATTTTATGCTGCAGTGAGGAAAAGGACAAGACTGTTTTCTGGCCCTCAGATGGTGTAACCATGTTTATGACGCGAAATTTAAATGACAACAAAGCGGCGCGGATTTCAACGGTGATGATCCATAAAAAGGGCGTCACGAACCCAAGAAGGAGAGAGACTGTGTGCGTATCCCTGTATAACTGTATAGTTGGGCAGCCGGCTATACGACGTACACACAACACGAGTAGTGTCAAACAATATGTCACAGGTACGCACAGGACAACATAAACAATGCTCACAATCCAAACACACAAAGTGGACATGCGCAAACTGACAGCTGCCGGTTCCAAAGTTTCCGCAGATAAACGATTCCAGTCCGACTTCTTGTACTTGTAAACAACCATCATCATAGCTATGGGTACCAGGACCAGTAGGCCGAGTGGTATCAGGTACATGATTACAAGATAGGGAATATGGAAGGTCTGTTCCACCATGAACACACAATAATGCTCATGCAAATATCGGTGTCGCGACATTTCATCCTGTTTGATCAGAGTGATGAGCACTCCACCAACAATACCAATACACCAGGGAAGCACAAGACACACCTTAGATACGATAGACGATGTTCTCTCGCCAACGACAGCGACAGATCGCAGCTTCGTCATCAGCCGTTCAACACACAACGCTAGGATCATCAAAGCAGAAACGTAGAGCTTACTGTTTAAAAAGACTATGTAGACAATACAGACAATATTGCCGTGACGCCATTTCCCCCAGTTGATATAATGGTCAAAGTTTATCGGGAGAACAACCATGTAATGGAACAGGTCAAAGATAGTCATACTGAGAACTCCCATAAAGAAGGCTTGATTCCGCAGGCTCTTGTTACAAAGGATTATGATTAGAATACTTAGGTGGGCAGGAATCGAGAGTACTATGATGGGAATGAAGCGCTTTTGCAGGTCCAAAATTTCGTTGGGATCCATCTCGTACGGCCGATGGGTAATGTTGCCCTGATCCAAGGGCCAGGTACTATTGGCGGTGGAGTTGTCACCAATCAACGACGTCGTCATCGGCTGAAACGGAAAAATAGATATTGCAAATAAACAAGCTGTAAATGTTTAGATGTAAAGTCGTCAAGAAAGGCACCAAATTAATATGTTCCCTTGAGTTCCTTTAGAAAAAATAAAAAATCGTTTAAGATAAAATGACTTTAAGGTGTCGACTTAGTAATTAGACATTAAATAGGTAGATCTTAGTAATTAGACATTAAATAGGTAGATCTTAGTAATTAGACATCAAAAAGATAGATCTTAGTAATTAGACATTAAATAGGTAGATCTTAGTAATTAGACATTAAATAGGTAGATCTTAATAATTAGACATCAAAAAGGTAGATCTTAGTAATTAGACATTAAATAGGTAGATCTTAGTAATTAGGCATGAAACATATAGACCATACTATTTAGACGTGAAACATATAAACCATACTAATTAGACGTGAAACATATAGACCATACTAATTAGACGTGAAACATATAGACCACACTTATTAGACGTGAAACATATAGACCACACTAATTAGACGGGAAACATATAGACCATACTAATTAGACGTGAAACATATAGACCATACTAATTAGACGTGAAACATATAGACCAGACTAATTAGACGTGAAACATATAGACCAGACTAATTAGACGTGAAACATATAGACCAGACTAAATAGAAGTGAAACATATAGACCATACTAATTGGACGTGAAAAATATAGTCCATACTAATTAGACGTGAAACATATAGTCCACACTTATTAGACGTGAAACATATAGACCACACTAATTAGACGTGAAACATATAGACCACACTAATTAGACATTAAACATATAGACCATACTAATTAGACGTGAAACATATAGACCATACTAATTAGACGTGAAACATATAGACTACACTAATTAGACGTGAAAAATATAGACCATACTATTTAAACGTGAAACATATATAGACCATACTAATTAGATGTGGAACATATAGACCATACTAATTAGACGTGAAACATATAGACCATACTAATTAGACGTGACACATATAGACCATACTAATTCGACGTGAAACATATAGACCATACTAATTAGACGTCAAACATATAGACTACACTAATTAGACGTGAAAAATATAGACCATACTAATTAGACGTGAAACATATAGACCATACTATTTAGACGTGAAAAATATAGACCATACTAATTAGACATGAAACATATAGACCATACTATTTAGACGTGAAACATATAGACCATACTAATTAGATGTGGAACATATAGACCATACTAATTAGACGTGAAACATATAGACCACACTAATTAGACGTGAAACATATTGACCATACTATTTAAACGTGGAACATGTAGACCATACTAATTAGACGTGAAACATATAGACCATACTAATTAGACGTGAAACATATAGATCATACTAATTAGACGTGAAACAAATAGACCATACTAATTAGACCTGAAACATATAGACCATACTATTTAGACGTGAAACATATAGAGCATACTAATTAGACGTGAAACAAATAGACCATACTAATTAGACCTGAAACATATAGACCATACTAATAAGACGTGAAACATATAGACCATACTAATAAGACGTGAAACATATAGACCACACTAATTAGACGTGAAACATATTGACCATTCTATTTAAACGTGAAACATGTAGACCATACTAATTAGACGTGAAACATATAGGCCATATTAATTAGATGTGGAACATATAGACCATACTAATTAGACATGAAACATATAGACCATACTATTTAGACGTGAAACATATATAGACCATACTCTTTTACAATTTCTAAAATATGTCTGCTCACCCACCCTTACATCCAGTCTACTATATTAGACTTACGAGACACTCACTCTTCCCCTATCACTCTAGACTGTAAAAGTATTACACATATGTACATCAATATAAATTAAAAGTTAAGAGTCCACCTACACATAATCAATAAAGCTTTGCCAATATGAAAATATAAAAATTATTGACATTGAAAGACACATTACTACTTAATTATAGAGCAAGTTGCGACGTCGATTAACAGTTCATCTTTACTCATATTGTAAAAATCACTTGTGATATTATTGGCCTCCTGCAAAAGACCCGATCGGAGATCATCATACAAGTTACATTCTATTAAAACATGACTCTCTATTTCTACCATTACACGCGAAACCCTACCGGCCTGTTTCGATGCGTGTCGGTGCAACCCCACTCCTAAACTTAGCTAGCGCACTACGATGGGATTTAGGCATTACTAACATATTAATATTTTTTTACCTCATAATTAAACTTAAATAACCTGTACATACGTAGTTTGTTACCTCCAGAAACTTTTTTTTTTGGCTCCGGGACGATTAAGTTCCCTTTTCCAATTTTCAATAAACAATTCCAAGCCACGGACCTTAACGTCCTTTTTTTCTTTTTTTTTTACTCTGACCTGTGCTGTAGTTATCCAAGCCTAGCTCCCGGAGTCTTGACATTACCCTGAAGTTCCAATTTTTATTTCGGTGGTCACCTATATGCCCACTCCAGGTAAATACAGCCTTATTCAATCTTGTATCCGACAGATTATGAAGACGACGCCAATGTCTAACAACAGCTTGCCATTGGTTCACTATTACTGGAGTCCAACCCATGTCCCCTCTAACAGCTACGTTAGGCGCATAACGACCAAGGCCTAGATACAATCTACATGCGTGATTTTGAATAGCCACAATATAACTAAATGTACGTGTTCCCCACGTAGTAGCACCGTAACTAATTACTGGTCACACTGTACTCTCAAACAGTTTAGATACAAAATAGGTAGACCTTACTAATTAGATGTGGAACAGGTAGATCTTACTAATTAGATGTGGAACAGGTAGATCTTACTAATTAGATGTGGAACAGGTAGATCTTACTAATAAGACGAGGAACAAGTAGACCTTACAAATAAGACAAGGAACAGGTAGATCTTACTTATAAGACAAGGAACAGGTAGACCTTACTAATAAGACAAGGAACAGGTAGATCTTATTAATTAGACAAGGAACAGGTAGACCTTACTAATTAGACAAGGAACAGGTAGACCTTACTAATTAGACAAGGGACAGGTAGACCTTACTAATATGACAAGGAACAGGTAGACCTTACTAATTAGACAAGGAACAGGTAGACCTTACTAATTAGACAAGGAACAGGTAGACCTTACTAATAAGACAAGGAACAGGTAGACCTTACTAATAAGACAAGGAACAGGTAGACCTTACTAATTAGACAAGGAACAAGTAGACCTTACTAATTAGACAAGAAGCAGGTAGACCTTACAAATTCGACAAGGAACAGGTAGACCTTACTAATAAGACAAGGAACAGGTAGACCTTACTAATTAGACAAGGAACAGGTAGACCTTACAAATTCGACAAGGAACAGGTACCCTTACTAATTAGACAAGGAACAGGTAGACCTTACTAATTAGACAAGGAACAAGTAGACCTTACAAATTCGACAAGGAACAGGTAGACCTTACTAATAAGACAAGGGTCTCAATTAAATGTGAAGACGGAAGCTATAAAAATAATATAAACGATATACTTAAGGAACAAGTAAAGTTTATAGTAATCTTTTTACTACTGAAGGAATAGATGTTGATGAAGCAAATAATCTACTACAGAATGTAGAGGCAACTGTTGCAAATGAGGTTAGAACTGATTTTGGTAATTTAAAAGCCAATCGATCACCTGGTATGGATGGTATTATTGCAGAGTTTTATCAAACTTACTGGAATTTAATAAAGCACCAATTTACTTATGTTATAATAGATATATTCCAAACAAAAGAGCTATGCCCATCTCAATATAAGGGTTTGATTACCCTTTTGTACAAACAGGGAGAAAGGGAGGACATCAAAAATTGGTGCCCAATCACTCTCCTGCATACAGATTACAAAATTATAACAAAAATTCTTCCAGAACGCATTAAAAAGGAACTTCCAAATATTATTCATAGCGACCAGAAGGGGGTTGTAAAGGGAAGAAACATAGAAGACAGTATTCGTTTAATCCAAGATATTATCGAGTACTCCAATGAAGAAAATAAAGGTGGAAGTATTACTTTTTTAGATCAAAAAAAGGCATTTGATCGGGTGGAATGGGAATGGGTAGAAATGTGTCTTAAAAAATTTGGATTTGGGAAAGTAATTATAGAATGGATAAAAATGACGTATAAGCAATCATCTAGACACATCCTTACAACTGGCTTTATTTCAAAACCATTTAAGTTATCACGTTCCGTAAAACAAGGGTGCCCGATAGCACCGTTGATTTATATCCTCCAAGCTGAATCCATGGCATGTTCTATCAGGAAAAATAAAAAAGGAATTGATATTCCGTATAGTAAAAATGGAAAAATGGAAGCAAAAATTAAAATGTTTGCCGACGACTAACAATTATTTGCTGGTAATAAGAAATCTATTCCTTTAATCTTTAATGTTTTAAACCAATACGAAAAGGCATCTGGTGCCAAAATAAATAAGAAAAAAACAAAAGGTATGTACATAGGTACAGTGAACATGGAAACAGAGACCTCCTCACTTTAAGGAAATTACTTGGGTAGAGCGAATAAAGGCTCTTGGGATAATGCATGGTTATGGAATAAACTTGGATGAAATTTGTGAAGAAAAAATAAGAAAACTTGAGTCAACCATATATTGTAGGAAAAAAAGAAATCTTACACTTCAAGGAAAAAATCCTATAATAAAATCATTAATACTCTAAACTAATTTACACATATTTATGGAACTCTAATGTAAATAAAGTTGCAAAAGAAACATGTTATAGAGAAATTAAAATTGGTGGATTAAATATGATTGATCTTGACTTAATGGAGACGTTAAAGGGTATTAAAAATATATACAAGATCATTCACTCAGAACTACAATGCTGGAATGCGTTGGGGGAAATACTGGCTTCAAAAATATGATTCTACCTTCTCTCAAAATTTCTTTTTGTGTAAATGTAACACTACAAAATCACTAGAATTACAAAATATTCCACAGTTCTATAAGATCTCTCTTCAAGGTTGGCAGGTTATGCTAAAACGACGTTCGGTCAAAACAAAACATGAAACACTTAATTAAAGGATAATTGGAAACACAAATATCACATTAAAAAAAAATCCGATCTTCCTAAAAAAACTGGACAAAATCAAATATAATGAAAATAAAAGACATATGGAGTGAAGAAAGAAATAATTTTATAAATTCTCAAGAATATTTGGAGAAGTTACGATTCAAAGATAACTGGATGTCAGAATTCTCCATAGTCAAGAAGGCAATTTCTTCATGTAACAATTGGTTACAAGAAGTAAAATCACTTAACCATGAGACTCCAGAAATTGAACCCATAGTTTAAACTGATGAACTACACATAAAAATAAATAAAAACGATGAAGTAATGGATCCGAATAGATTAAAGAATAAAATATTGAAAGAACTAATTTTGAATAAGAAATACTATTCCAAATCACAAAATAGCTGGGATGCTGTTTATCAAAATGATGACATAGATTGGGTTATAATTTGGACTTCTTTAAAATCATCTATAGCAAATAGGAAATGTAACGACTTCCAATGGAAATGCTTACATAATATTATTTCTACGGAGGCAAAATCATTTAAAATGAGACTGTCAAACGAATTATGTACACTTTGTCATATAGTTCAGGAAAATCAAATTCATTTATTCTTCAGATGTAATAAAATAACAGAAATTTGGAAGACAGTTAACTCATTTATAAACAAAGCCTCACATTCAAATCAAATATACCAAAGAAAGTTGTAATGTTAGGAAGCTGTAATCTAAACCAAGAATATAATGCAATAATCAATTTGTTTGTCTTAACTACAAAGTGGCACATATGGAAAGAACAAAATAAGATAAAATTTGATGATGAATATGAAATTGCTGACTTCACACAGCATATTTTGAAGTGTGTAAAACAAGAACTAAGGTTTACAATCAATGCAATTGAAAGCGTTAAAAGATATCAACAATTAGAAAATAAGTTACAAGCAATTTTTGCAAATTGAAATTGAAATCAATGTAAGAGAAATTGAGTAGAAAGAAAGAAAATGAGCAAGAGAAAAAATAGACAGAGTGAGGAAGATGAGGGTACAAAATACAGAGAGTCAGAGAATGAATAGGCTACATGTACTATGTACAGGGATTAGGTCAGGCCCCATCCTGGTATTCCCTATTGTATTCGGGATAATAAACTATAAAATAGAAAAGAAAAAGAAAAAACCATCCGGGCTTCATATGCAAATGATAATTTGCGGACGGTATATCGTAGTTTTACTGTCGCAAATTATTTTGATTGGCCAATAAAATGCCTTGTTACATCACAAATGAATTATAATTGTTTTAAATCATTTGAGTCGATACAAGTTGCCGGCAGTGTTAACGTGGTATCTTCTATTGATCATATGTACAATTATTGACCCGATGTTTCATATGGACATCAGCCACGTTTCGGAACCCCGACCGACAAGGCAGTGAACATTTTAAACTTAAACCATTTGCTTTTACACAAGTAAAAAAGAGAAAGCGCAATATACAAAAATCTCACACCAAGGTCTCAAACGGGAAACATGCATCGCGTAGAGATGGATGCCTATGAGCAAGATTAATAAAATATATAACCTGTAACTAAGCGAGATCGGGTGATCTCAGTCAAGGGCTAAGAATCTGTAGCATAATCCAAACCGAGAAGTAAGCCGATGTTGGGATGGGAACCCGTCTGGCTCAGTGACAGGTAATTGATTTTTTTCTCGCATCTTTTAGTTCGAAAAAACTAATCAGCTTTGCTAAAGACTATCCCGTCTGTGGCCTCAAATAAAAATGGCATATCACTACTAAGCTACATTTGAATGCTTCCGCGTAAAAATGTAGTCCGTTATTACAAAGCAGAAAACGTATTTCACAGTTTAGATTATATTTTATCTACAACATCAGATATCCAACAACACCAAAACAATACATATAACGACAAGACAGTTCAAGCCGTTCATGCGTGGATGAATACATCACAGTAATTAATATTGTCAACATACAGAAAGTATACTTACCAGAGCGGTGGTAGTCATGATGATGATCAGTCCGTATGGCGCCCTAAGTTGATAAGTCCTGATGGCACCCTTAGTTACAATGCGAGTGCCACTCGCTGGCGTGGTGACAATTATATATCTATGTACATGGGCACACTAACTCTGACGTGGTCACTTTGATCCGGTCGGCTGTTTAATTAAGATAACAACGTTTGATACATTGCAATTAGCATCCTTGATATACAAGGGATTGCCTTCGATTTTGCTATAACATATCCCAGGGGTGCTTGCTTGAGTGTCCGTCACTATCTGGGTTTCGAATTTTATATATAGACAAATATTTTTGGACGAGACCAAATGTAATTAAGTTTTATGAATTGATGAATACTACTAATATAAAAACACTGAAGAAACTTTGTACTTTTATTAGAATAATTAATAACAATATTTGACCTCCTCGATATAATGTGTATATATTATGAAACAGTACTGTGTACTACCGACTACGAACACTACAATTACTATATATTATATTGTAAATATGTTTCTCTATACATTGTATTGTGAAAGAGAATAAAGTTGAATTGAATTGAAAAAATCGATTGTGCTATAACATATCCCAGGGGTGCATAGAGCGTAAGTGAGCGTAGCCCCTGGATATCGAGGATGTTGAACTAGTAGATTATTCGATTTTACTTAGCAGTTTATGTAGTATCTTTGAAACACGGTCAATAGGCTTAAAACAGCAACAAAACTAACACGAATGTAACAGTACTTACGCTATGGTTTTGTCCAGTCAATCTAGAACTAACATCAAACTAATTGCAACATAATCTATAATTGTTTTTCACAATGGCACGAGTTACATTTATATATATATATATAAAAAAAAACAAATAAAAAACGTCTTCAAAAAGAAACCTATCGGGAAATGGTACTTCACCCTCTTAACGATCATGAAAATAATAAAAATTAATTTATTTGACCAACTTTTGAGTGTAATTTCTACATCTTATATAACATTGATTCTAGGAAATAAAAAGTATTGCAAAACTCTTTAAGATGGATGTCTTGTACTAAGATAGAAATATTATCAGTTAATCTCATTAGCAATATTAACTCATGAGTACTAATTATTGAATAAAACATTGTATGTATAAAATTTTCATATGTGACAAACGTTGTTTTCGCACAATAAAAATATCCAAGCTTTCGAAGTCGGTCGGCACGGCTGATTTGGAGTCAATACCTAAGGTTCGCTCTCCAGAAACGTATGGTATTTTGAACGAAAAAATATTAACTGGGTACATATAGCTATATGTGAAAAATAAGTGTTTCAGTAGATAACAAGTTGAACGCCGGTGTCGTATTTTGTTTACAGTTTTCCCTATCTCTCGGTAATATTACACTAGCGTCATCACATCATTATCATAAGTACTCACGCACGTGGCTATCTGGGAGGTGATAAACTCCTATTTGATTACGGTTCAATGTAATGGAGTTAATACCCTCACTAACACAAGCTAATAGATCCTGTAATACCAATATCTGCCAAGAGTTGTCGTTCCTGCACTCACTATTGTTAAGCCGGAGACGACGCCATTGACATTGTTTCTAATAACACACGCTAATTGACCCCATTATACTAATCTCTACATAGACTTGTCGTTCATACACTCCCTTACAGAGAGTGTACGGGACGACAACTCTGGGTAGAGATTGCCCGTTACATTTGTCTGTTATACCACTCATATAACAAGAGATGTCGTTCCTACACTTCCTAACAGTGAGTGAACGGAACAACAACTCTGGGTAGAAATACATACACTATTTGTTTACCCGGAGACAAAAGTATTGCTATTTGTTTTCATAACAAAACCTGTGCAATCGAATCTAAAAATATCGCTAATAATATAGAAAACTCCCAAACAAAAATTTCTAAAATCTACCAGGTTGACAGTATAACACATTTTTTTTACAAATATGATACAATGAGAATAAGAAAACAAGCTAGACTATAATACTTACTCGTCCCCTCTTTTGTACGTTACGGCAATTTGGATATTTGATGAACATGTAATTTGTTTATGTGATAAAACCTGGTGAGTAAAATGAGTAAGGAAATTCAAATGTAAAAACAAAAACAGGAGGACCTCACTAGTGCAAAGAAATGTTAAATAAAGTAGACAATATTTATTCAAATCTTTCGTTGTGAAGGATAAAGCTTTGTCCGCAAAATAAGACAATTTCCTTTCCATTTAACTTTTGATCATACGAGAAGAAGAGTATCTTCTTTAATTTATGCAACGTATTGTTAAGTTTTATCTGAGATATACCGCTGCCTCTTTTGATCGTATCTATCACTATGTATAAGTCCACGTGTTGTGAAGTTTTATCTGAGATCTATCACTATGTATAGGTCCACGTGATGTAAAGTTTTATCTGAGATCTATCACTATGTATTAGTCCATGTGTTGTAAAGTTTTATCTGAGATCTATCACTATGTATAAGTCAATGTGTTGTGAAGTTTTATCTGAGATCTATCACTATGTATAAGTCCACGTGTTGTGAAGTTTTATCTGAGATCTATCACTATCTAAAGGTCCAGGTGTTGTAAAGTTTTATCTGAGATCTATCACTATCTATAGGTACACGTGTTGTAAAGTTTTATCTGAGATCTATCACTATCTATAGGTACACGTGTTGTAAAGTTTTATCTGAGATCTATCACTATGTATAGGTCCACGTGTTGTAAAGTTTTATCTGAGATCTATCACTATCTAAAGGTCCACGTGTTGTAAAGTTTTATCTTAGATCTATCACTATCTATAGGTCCACGTGTTGTAAAGTTTTATCTGAGATCTATCACTATCTATAGGTCCACGTGTTGTAAAGTTTTATCGGAGATCTATCACTATGTATTAGTCCACGTGTTGTGAAGTTTTATCTGAGATCTATCACTATGTATAGGTCCACGTGATGTAAAGTTCTATCTGAGATCTATCACTATGGGTAAGTCCACGTGTTGTAAAGTTTTATCTTAGATCTATCACTATGTATAAGTCCACGTGTTGTAAAATTTTATCTGAGATCTATCACTATGTATAAGTCCACGTGTTGTAAAGTTTTATCTGAGATCTATCACTATTTATTAGTCCACGTGTTGTAAAGTTTTATCTGAGATCTACCACTATGTATAAGTCCACATGAGGTAAAGTATTATCTGAGATCTATCACTATGTATAAGTCCATGTGTTGTAAAGTTTTATCTGAGATCTATCACTAACTATAGCTCCACGTGTTGTAAAGTTTTATCTGAGATCTATCACTATGTATAGGTCCACGCGTTGTAAAGTTTTATCTGAGATCTATCACTATCTATAGGTCCACGTGTTGTACAGTTTTATCTGAGATCTATCACTATCTATAGGTACACGTGTTGTACAGTTTTATCTGAGATCTATCACTATCTATAGGTCCACGTGTTGTAAAGTTTTATCAGAGATCTATCACTATGTATTAGTCCACGTGTTGTAAAGTTTTATCTGAGATCTATCACTATTTATTAGTCCACGTGTTGTAAAGTTTTATCTGAGATCTACCACTATGTATAAGTCCACATGAGGTAAAGTATTATCTGAGATCTATCACTATGTATAAGTCCATGTGTTGTAAAGTTTTATCTGAGATCTATCACTAACTATAGCTCCACGTGTTGTAAAGTTTTATCTGAGATCTATCACTATGTATTAGTCCACGTGTTGTGAAGTTTTATCTGAGATCTATCACTATGTATAGGTCCACGCGTTGTAAAGTTTTATCTGAGATCTATCACTATCTATAGGTCCACGTGTTGTAAAGTTTTATCGGAGATCTATCACTATGTATTAGTCCACGTGTTGTGAAGTTTTATCTGAGATCTATCACTATGTATAGGTCCACGCGTGTAAAGTTTTATCTGAGATCTATCACAATGTATAAGTCCACGTGTTGTAAAGTTTTATCTGAGATCTATCACTATGTATTAGTCCACGTGTTGTGAAGTTTTAACTGAGATCTATCACTATGTATACGTCCACGTGTTGTAAAGTTGTATCTGAGATCTATCATTATGTAGAAGTTTACGTATTGTAAGGTTTTATCTGAGATCTATCATTATGTTTAAGTCCACGTGTTGTAAAGTTTAATCTGAGAACTATCACTATCTATAAGTCCACGTGTTGTAATGTTTTTTCTGAGATCTATCACTATGGGTAAGTCCACGTGTTGTAAAGTTTTATCTGAGATCTATCACTATGTACAAGTCCACGTGTTGTAAAGTTTATTCTGAGATCTATCACTATCTATAAAATCATGTGTTGTAAAGTTTTATCTGAGATCTATCACTATGGGTAAGTCCACGTGTTGTAAAGTTTAATCTGAGAACTATCACTATCTATAAGTCCACGGGTTGTAAAGTTTTATCTGAGATCTATCACTATGTATAAGTTCACGTGTTGTAAAGTTTTATTTGAGATCTGTCACTATATATAGGTCCACGTGTTGTAAAATTTTATCTGAGATCTGTCACTATGTATAAGTCCACGTGTTGTAAAGTTTAATCTGAGAACTATCACTATCTATAAGTCCACGCGTTGTAAAGTTTTATCTGAGATCTATCACTATCTATAGGTCCACGTGTTGTGAAGTTTTATCTGAGATCTATCACTATGTATAAGTCCACGTGTTGTAAAGTTTTATTTGAGATCTGTCACTATATATAGGTCCACGTGTTGTAAAATTTTATCTGAGATCTGTCACTATGTATAAGTCCACGTGTTGTAAAGTTTTATCTGAGATCTATCACTATGTGTAAGTCCACGTGTTCTAAAGTTTTATCTGATATCTATCATTATGTATAAGTCCACTTGTTGTAAAGTTTTATCTCAGATCTATCACTATGTGTAAGTCCACGTGTTGTAAAGATTTATCTCAGTTCTATCACTATGTATAGGTCTACGTGTTGTAAAGTTTTATCTGAGATCTATCACTATGTATAAGTCAGAAGCAAAAACCAAAACCAAATAAAGATATTAACTAATTAGCTAAACAACAAACACTGATAACTATCTTCGGATATTAAAGCCACGGGAATAGTATGATAGGTAGATATTCAGGTTTGTTTAGTAAATGTACGTTTACGAGGGCT